AAGGGGTGGAGAGGGAACCGTAGGCCCGAGGCTAGAGAAAGAACGTGGATGCCAAAGAATCGGCCCTCCGGGGGCTCGGTGACATTCTCGTGCGGGAGGGGGGCGAGGACTTCCACGCCGGGTCCCACGTACGACCGCACGAGGTCCAAGTCTTCCTCGGTAATATAAGGACGCACGGAACGGGGAATAGTGGGGTCAAGTTCGGAACGAGTTAACTTACGAGTGGAGGTGGCGATGGCCCCGGGCACGGCTTGAAGGGGCCGAGCCTCGACCGGGTTGTCGTTGGGTAGGCCAGTGCGGGCCTCGGTTGCCGTAGGGGGGGGGGGGCGAAAAGGTCATCCTTAGGGTCCATGGAGGGATCGGTATCGCCTAAAGACACGAAGAGATCGCTAAAATCGAGGGCGTCAAACTCGGCGGACATACGGAGAGGGAGTTGGAGCTAAAGGAGGGAAAGTGGGGAGGCCGGAAGCCGTGGGGCGGTCGCCGGCGTAGCACGGAAAGGGGGCGAGGCCGGCGGGTAGAGAGAGAGTGGAGAGGGTGTTTGGAGAAGTTGGGAAAATTGGGGAAGTCGGAGGGCCGCGAGGAGGAGGTGGCGTGGCACGAGGACGGCGGCGTGGCGAGGAGGCGGAGTGAGGAGGGCCGACGGGGAGAGGGTGTGTGGGAGTGGTGAGTGAGGAGTGTGAGAGATGGAGGGGAAGAAGGTTTAAGTAAGGAAAGGGGAGAGAAGATTAGGGGTGAGCATCGGTCGGTTACGGTTAATAACCGACCGATAACCGAATAACCGATGGCATTTTTTAAATCTCCATAACCGACCGAAACCGACCGAACATACACTATTAACCGACCGAAACCGATTATGTCGGTTTCGGTCGGTTATTCGGTTAACCGAATAACCGAGCATCCATAAGTAATATAAATAAATAAATAAATAAATAAATAAATAAATAAATATATATATATATATATATATATATATATATATATATATATATATATAAATAATAGTGTCGGTTATTCGGTGACCGCGGTTATTACACTTTCATAACCGATAAATAACCGAATAACCGGAATTTTTTTTTTGCCTTATAACCGATAACCGACCGATAACTGAAATTATCGGTCGGTTCGGTTATCGGTTTTGTCGGTTTTTTGGTAATTATGCTCACCCCTAGAGAAGATGGGAGTAGATTTTGGGTAGTTGGAAAGTTTGAATTTTGAAAATGGGATAAGAAGATAAGAAGAGAAAAGGTCAAACTTTGGGAAATGGGAAAGCTGATGGGGGTTGATGGGTGTGACATGTGGGTTTCCCGAGGCATTGGTGGAAGGGGGGAATCCAAGACTCATGGGTGTCCCGGGGAGGAGGAAGTCCCGAGCGCAACGCGGGTGCCCGGGGGCGCGGCATGGATAATACTTGGCGGGCTTGGGCTTGACCCTCGACTCACGCTACTCTCCTTCGTTGACGATGACTCGCAACTCGGAGAGTGGGGGACTGATGATGGATATATTAAGTATGGGCTCGGGACGAACCGACCCGGGAAGGCTGGCGCGAAGGCCTACGGAGGCCCCGTATGAGGCCGACCAAGGCCTCGGCCTACGGCGAGGCCGACCAAGTCCTCGGCCTACAACCTCGGTCGAGGCCTACGTGGGCCTGGAAGCACAAGATGGCCCCGGGCACTCGCATTGATCCGGTCAACGCGTGATCCAACTGCCCCGCGAGAATAGGGGGGCGGTTGGGAGTCTTGGCTAGTATAAAAGGATTAGTTAGTGTCTTGCCTAGGGACATCTACTTCTATTATTATTACCACAATTATCCTGTAACCCTTTTACGAATATTATTAATACAAAGTTGTCCCCGCGACACACATTCTACATCTTTCCTATCCATTATTTATCGGGTTTAGTGATTCGGGTCTACCCCGGGTTAATTAAATCCATCATATCCTTAATGAATATGATTATCCGTTAACTTTTTTGTTAGTTCTGTTAGTTCACCGTTAACTTACTCATTGATTTTGATAAGAGAGGTCTCAGGTTCGAACCCCATCCCAATCAAATTAAAGTTGACATAATTAGTACTCTATTTTACTTTTATTAAATTAATTAATTAATAATAATTTAGTAGCTACAAAAAGAAAATACATATGCATTTCTTTAATTTAGAATTATGTGTGTACAATGTCTTTATTCAAAAAAAATTATTCATTTTATCAATAAATTAAATAAGAGAAATAATTTTATTAGTTATATTGTCTTTATTTTTTCTCAAATGTAAACATTCTTTACATTCAAATTAATCAATTAATTATATTAACTACATTGTCTAATATCTTTTTTTGTGCACTATTTTTTAATTAAATATCAAAGTTATAATACAAAATAATGCTACATACTTATTTACCAAGTATTTTATTAATAGCATGAAAAAATTAAAAAAAAATATAATTAATAAAGTCAGTCATATTAACTACTTGAGGGATTTGTTGACAAAGAGAATATTCAAATCACACAACAAATTGAAGCGAGAACTACATCGCAATGTCCTTGTTTGATAATCAGCAGTTAGCGTTAACGGATTTGACCAGCGAATTATATCAACGGTTGGAAAAAAGATATTTGAAAAAATTAGCCATTTAGATTAACATGTAAAATGACCTAAGGTATAATAATAATAATAATAATAATAATAATAATAATAATAATAATAATAATAATAATAATAATAATAATAATAATAATAATAATAATAATTGATTTAAAAAAAATAAAAATATAATTAAGCCAATCATATTAATTACTTGGATTTATTGACAAAAAGAGTATTCAAATCACACAACAAATTAAAGTGGGAAACTATCTCGCAATGTCCTTGTTTGGCAATTCGCAATTAGCTCTTCAATATTAGTATATATTTAATATTTTATGGCCTAATTTTTATTTGCTCTCCCTTATGTCCCGTATTTAGTTTCAACCATACCTATATAATTATTTTATTGACAATTATAATCAATCTTAACTATATTAATTTGCATTTGTAAATTTAGAATTGCCTATTTAAATACGCAAATTTAACATTTAATTATCAATGTATAAACAATTCCAATATAATCTTGCCTTGATATACTTTAAAGTACTTATTTAAAAAAATTAAAAAAAATTGGGCATTAATCCAATCGCACAATGTGCATAAAAAACTAGTATATATATATAATAGAATATAGATATAGATAGATATAGATTGCACGCAATAGATTTACATAATTCAATTCCAGCTTTACATCCGCGTCCTTCTCTCCCTCTTACTTTCTCTTTCTTCCTCTCTCTCTCTCTCCCTCCCATATCTCTCTGTTAGGGTTTCAGGCGCCGCTTTTACTGTGTGCGATCTGAAAGTGCCGTCCTTGTTCTCTCACCAGCCATCATCTCGGTCCTTCACGTAATTTCCTCTCCCTCTCTAACTCGAATTTATTGTTGTGTATGTTATATAAACTCCATTTAGAAAGCTGATTATGTGCAAAGTATATATACTTATCGCTTGATCTGCGCTTTTGTTTTTGATCGATGGATTTTCTGTACCGCGCTATGATTGATTTTGAATACCTGAACTCTGATGTCTGATCTATTTGTTTATTTCGGCGTTCAAATTTCAATATGCTTGTTTGAACTTGCGATGCAGAACCTGGTGTTTATATTTTTATATTCTATGTTTTTTGGTTTCAGAATCTAACTTGATTGCATAGCTCTTATACAGTTATTATACTTGAGTTATATTTTTTTTTTTTTTACGGAAGTTGAACTCCCTTGAGCTTAGTGGTTTTCTCGATGGTAGAGTTTTGTTAAATTTGATTTTCTGTTGGTTGGATTGGCTTTTGAATTGATGTGTTTGTATCCTAGCTTCACAATCTAGTTTTCCCATTTGAATTGAATGATTGGCTTTTTTCAGATTTTGTTGCCCCATAGTGATTAATTTTTAAAAGCTTGAAGGATAGATTTCCCATATATGTGGATCTATGGAATTTCAAAAGCTCTGTTATTTGTTAGGTGTTCTCTTTTGCTACAAAGAAATTGACCTTTCTATCCTTAGTTTTGTCTAGCTACATGTGTAGTATCCATTACTGAAAACATATTTTTTTCTTTACTGCATTTTATTTTTCATGTGAATTTCATTTGTAAATCTTTCTAATACTCCATATTAATTATTGATGCTGGACATGTAATTTGTTTTAAATAAATTATGTGAGAAACCAAGTTTTAAAAGGCAGTGGCATGCCTCGAGGCGTTTTGTAATGTTGAGGCGATGCGTAAACCTCAATTTTTATCAGAAATATATTAATGACCTATACATATTGTTCATAAAATACACCATAGGATCTCCTTGGAGCACTGGGAGAAGTTCTTTTTTTCGAATGATTCACCATGTTTAGATATAATCAACCTACAAAGAATTAATAAGGTAAAAAATTAATATATATATGTTTTTTTAAAAACCACGGCCAGCAGGCAGCAGTACTGTAAAAACAAAAAAAATCTGTATAAAAAAATTGCCAAGTGTCCAGTATCTATGAAGCCACTATATATATATATATATATATATATAGGCAAAGGAATACACACCAAATGCACCCGTACACGCTGAGTACACCAATCTGTTTCTTTAATAATATACTTTTGTTAGTTTAATTTGTATAATCGAGCTGCTTGAAAATTGCCGAGCTCGAGCTCGAGCAGCCCCTTCCTTAATGAGCTCGAGCTTGGCTCGGCTCGTTTACACCCCCAAGTACAACACATGAACACAGTTTATATAACTTTAAACTAAGTGTGTACTTAATAAACTAACAGTAATTCATAAGAATTTATTTAAATATAAAATTTAAAGTAAACAAAAATTAGAAATTACCTTTTGTATAATATATATATATATATATATATATATATATATATATATATAGTGTCGGTTTACGGTGACCGCGGTTTTTAATGGCTAATAATGGAATGGCCGAATAACCTATTTCTTTTCCCTTGTAACTGAAAACCGAAATTTTCGGTCGGTTCGGTTATCGATTTTTCGGTAATTATGCTCACCCCTAGCCGCCGCCATCGTTGAACACTGTAGCAGGCCGCAATTATTCCCGGTTCCTCTATATGCCTTACTCACTGCCATGTTTTATTTTTGTGAATTTGGTTTGACGATCTGAAACTTTATCTCTTGACCATTAGGATCAGTTTAAGATTTGAATAAGCTTTTTTTTTTTTTAATTTTTTTGTGTGGATATTTTGTTTCTCCTGAAGTTACACGTGAGAATAAAGAGTTTTGAAAGCATGCCTGGACACTTGTTTCATTGGCTTGAAAAATTATGCGGCAAATATATTGAACATGAAATGCATTAATGGCTTATTAATTTGCACTTGTTGGTCAATGGTCATGAGCAGTTTATCATTGCATTTTTTAGGTAACAGGAATTTCTGTCTGAAGTAGCGCTTGAAATATAGTTTAATTATTCTGGCTGACAACAAAACCTAACATTTTTTTTTGAATTTTGTTGTTATTTCAATTATTGTTGCTGTCCAGAGATTTGGGGCATGAGAGCACAAGCATTGGCAGTTCAACAATCTCTTATTGGCTCTGTTGTTTGCTCTCGAAACTGTAAATCGTCTCTCTGCTCAGTCTGGAGTTGTTCTAGATCGTCATACCCCCCATACAAACTCAGTTCTTTTCTCTCTTATCAATTCCCCATGTCTTTTGCCACCAAAATCTCATACCCTCTCTTCCACCAACCATTCCTGAAAACTGTTGGTTCTCATTCCTCAGCTTCTACTCCTGAAAGGCTTCATTTTGCTAAGCCTATCACTTTTCAGAAAATTCCCACAAAACTAATTTCTGTTGTACCGCCTGCATCATCATCACAATCATCCTCGGTATCTCTACAACCTGTTGAAGACTTGCCCCCGAAGCTTCAAGAGATAGTCAAGCTTTTCCAAGCAGTAGAGCAGCCCAAGGCTAAGTATGAACAGCTTTTGTTTTATGGGAAGAATTTGAAGCCGTTGGATGCTCAGTACAAGACTGGTGAGAATAAGGTCCAGGGCTGCGTTTCGCAGGTCTGGGTAAGGGCATATCTTGATGCAAATAAAAATGTCATCTTTGAGGCTGATTCTGACTCGGTGCTCACAAAGGGCCTTGCAGCTTTGCTGGTTCAAGGGCTGTCAGGCCGCCCTGTTGATGAGATTGTGAGGGTATCACCTGATTTTGTAGTACTTGTTGGGTTGCAACAGAGTTTAACACCATCAAGGAACAATGGTTTCTTGAATATGCTCAAGTTGATGCAGAAGAAGGCTCTGCAGTTGTATGTGGAAGCTGAAAAGACAGGAAGTTTGGGTCATGATGAGGATGCAAGCAATACAACTGAGAGCTCGAATTTTGGAGTGACGAATGATAATGGAAATGAGAATTTGAAGACTGGACTGAGTTCTGAAGAGAGTGGTGGTAATGATAGTAAAGCAGTATCGTGTGATAGTGTTATTTTGGGGAGTCGGGGGATGAGAATTAGGGAGAGATTGGAGAGGGATCTAATGCCTGCTGAATTGGACGTTGAAGATATTTCATATCAGCATGCTGGTCATGCTGGGGTTAGGGGCAGTGATGGTGAGACACATTTCAATGTGAGAGTGGTTTCTGAGAAGTTTGAGGGCAAGAGTTTGGTTAAGAGGCATAGATTGATTTATGATTTGCTGCAAGAGGAGTTGCAGGGTGGACTTCATGCGCTGTCCATCATTGCTAAGACACCATCTGAAGTAAATAGTAGGTGAAAATCTCAGCTTTAAAAAGGTCTTAGCATTCTTTCTCATTTAAGTTCTTATTGAAATTGGTTTTTGTTAGTACCAATATTGTGCTATTATAGGCACTTGAAACAAGAGATTTTGAAAGATGTTTTCTTTTCCTTTTAGAACCATGAGAAGGATATAGGATTTGTACTACCCTGTAAAAAATAGTTCAAGAACTTGTTTTCCTATGTACTATGTTCTGTTTAGTATGTTACTCAACAATTTATAATATAAAATTTTTGCAAGACTTTGATGTATTTGACACTTGCAAAAACACTTGAGGAATGATGACAACCAAGCATTGGTATAAATTCCTACCTGCTCTCTTGTTATCTCCCTCAGGCCTCAGTTTCTAGACATTGTTGTGGCTTTCATGGATTGAGGAATTGCCAACACATACAAAACATTGCATTCCTTGGTACTTCCTAGCTCAATAAATTTGTAATTATTGAGCTTCTTTCAAGGCCTAGGTGCTCTCAGATAGAATTTGAAGCCATATAAATGAGGCATGATGTATTCTGGTAAGGATGGGATTACTACTGTTCTTGTTGCAGAAGAGTAGCACTCAATAGATTCATGGAACATTTTTGTCTTCTTGTAAGTCTTCTTAAGCCTTTAGTTAATATATTGAAGTTTTATACAAAAGTATTTTTATTACTTTATTCTCTCTTTTCCTGATTTAGTCCTTTAGAGCTTTCACCTTGCCAGGATGGTGCTATCTCTTTGCCACCCATGATTCCTAATAATATCATTGACTTTTATCTGAACTCTGAAGAGTATACATACTTAAGGTACATTTACGTTCCTTTCTTTGTTTTCGTGCCATAAGTTATTTATTTAATTTTATTTTTTGAAATAAACATAACTCAGACATAGCTTAATCCCAATCTGATTTGATTAGCTGTGTATTTCTGTCTATCAATCTCATTCTTCTAAGTGCTAAATCCTTGGATTAGCTTATCCTTAACATGGTTTTGATTACACTGCTCTTGTAAAATATTTCCAGACTAATAGAAGGACTAATGGATGATCCATTCATACGAAATTACATTGAACATCTTTTGAGAAATGTGAGGACTCAGGTGTTGCTCAAGCTCATCAAGCCCTACACAAGGATTCGGATCCCCTTCATATCCAAGGTGATTATATAGGCGTCCAGTGTATCTTTGCAGCAAGGGAGCAAGCTGCAGAGACGCTTGTTTTGTTTTGAATTAATGTTTTTATTTATTGTTTGTTTTTCACTTTCCCTATTTACCTTCTATTCTATCTTTGCTTTTTGTTCACTAAAAGTTGTTGATGTACAGGAGCTTAATGTACCAGAAAAGGATGTTGAGGAGTTGTTGGTCTCGCTATTGGATAATCGTATACAAGGTCACATTGATCAAGTGAACAGACTTCTAGAACGCGGGGACAGGTCTGAATTTTACTCTTTTTTTTTTTTAGTCCTTTGGGTTTCTTTGCCTCGTTGAACTAGGGTGGAAAAATAGTTTAAAGTAGTTGCAGAAGGGAACTGGCAGGATCCTGTATATATTGTTCCGTTTTCTTGTTTCACATGATATATTTCTTATGTCTAATGTTGTGAATAGGTCAAAAGGAATGAAGAAATACACTGCTATAGATGAGTGGAACACACAGCTCAAGTCTCTCTATCAGACCATTGGCAATCGAGTGTGTTAAATATCCAGATTGTTCCATTTATACTGCTAGGATCAAACGCTTACCACTCACGCCAAAAGCTATTGCTAGTAGCGAAGGCGCAACTTATTTCCTTATAGACTGCCATCACATTGTTCGAGATAGACTGGGTGCTGGACTTGGCCCTTAGGAACTTTACCGTCCTCCGCCCAACAATCCCCCAGCCACTAGACATAGCCCCTTTACCAGCTCTGCCCAACATATACTTTGAACGCAAGCACTAAGTCATCCTCCATTCAGGTCTGCAGTGGGGATAAAAGTGGGTGGTTGGCATAAGGTTTTCCCAGGTTGACTTTTGATATATGCATGTTTTTAGTACTGATGCATTCACAGACTACATTGTAAATGTTGATTCTCAATGTTCTTATTGTCAAAGTGACTAGTTAAAATTGATTCTTTTGGGGGATTTGGTTGGAACCGAGCCAATCTAGGCAGATTTGTGAGGGGTATAAACGAGTTAAATTTGGGATAAATTTTGAACTACACTTGGTATACCAAGTTTATATAGATCTGTAGTTTAATGCAATAAAATCTTTGTGCTGTATATAGGTGTAACTAAAGTCTTTCTTTAGGTATAAGAAATAAAAAAAAATATTTCTGAGGAGTTGCACCAATAGTGTAAGAGAAACACAGAACAATGAAATGTTAAAATACATAAAAAATATACTACACACCCAAAAAAAATACACCATATACCTCCTTATGCATAATGATGTATTTTCGGACACTATGTGGTGCTTTTAGCATGGTTGCAATAGGCGCTAGGCGCTAGTCGGGTGGTAGAGTAGCGCTTAGCGCCTAGATGACCTAGGCGGTTAACTAAAGAAAAGAAAAACAGTGCACATGTGTAGGTGCATATATATATATATATATATATATATATATATATATATATATATATATATATATATATATATGAAAAAAATTAGCAAGGTCGAGTCGCCCGGGTTAACTCGGCTATCTCGATAGAAATGGACGAGTTAACTTGGCATAATCGGCCGAATTAGGCGCTAGGCGGGAGCCTAGGGAGAAAGTCAGCACGGTCTAGGGGCGCCTAGGCGTCGATTAATCGGTGCCTAGGCGGGATTTTTGCAACCTTGACTTTTAGTTATACCTAATGATGTGTTGTTGGTGATGCGTACTTAATTTGTGTGTATTTTTTGTAGTGCATTTCCTGACGTTGATGGTGTATATTTTGTGCTTAACTATTGATGTATTCTGAAAACCGCCGCACGGCTACATTAGGAGTCGCTACACCTGAACTCGATTCTCTCTCTCTCTCTCTCTGTGTATATATATATATATATATATATATATAATCCAAGCCAAGTATATATCATCAACTACCTAATCTTAACCCCCAAAATCTCCAATTAAATCGTAATTTTGTAAATTTCTCTAATCTCAATTTCTCCCTTGTGACTGCGAGAGAATGATTCTTGACTGTTTGTCCAAGTAAATTCGTGAATCTCCTTTTACGGTCACTGTTGTCACCAAGGTTGTAAAAAACGCTAGGTATTCCTTGGGCGCCTAGTGCCTAAGTGCCTTTTTATTTACTATTTATTTTTATGTTTACCTTTTAAGACTTGATAATTATAAACTATTTAATACTTTAATAATTAATACTAAAATATTAAATATTAACCTAGAAAACATCTAGAATTGTAAATTGTATAAAGATTTAAAGAAGCAAAATACAATTCCACAAGATCACAACTCGCAAAGTATCAATATTAGAGTAAAAGATTTCATTTTTTTTTTTTTTTTTTGGGTTTGCAACTGATTTGAACGATTTAGAATTATTTTGTTCAAAACGACACTATTTTGAATGAAATAATCCATTTTTTTAAAAAAAATTTAAACAATAGCTAATTGGTTGCCTAGGCTGCCGGCCGCCTAGAACATCGATTACGGTGACAATATAGGCGGCTGGCCTTTTACAACCCTGGTTGTCAGTTGTCACTACTTTTTTTTTTCCCGATGCACAACGAGTATTAAATATATTTTTTAAAAAAAAATCAATGGCCTACATATGAAAACAGACTTCAAGCTAAGCCATACCAATTAGAAAAGCTTACATACAGGCCCATGTCTAATTTTCTAAAGCTCTTATCACCCCGACCTATTTTAATCCCTACAGTATTATTTTACAGTATACAAAATATGATCCATACAGCTTGTGTGGACCATGGTCCACACAATAATGATTGCTACTGTACATTGTACATGAACTGAGTTTCTTTTGGTTTGTGTATTACACATATACATATACATACACAAAATTTGAAGGAAAAAATTCAACATAGAAATAGATAAAAATATATATGAATGTATGGAACTGAAAAAGAAGAAGAAGAAAATATAATACACACACGAAGACCAAAACACAAAAAGATCAAATTGCTACCAACGTTGAGGGGAGGGGCTGTACCACTTCTTGGAGCCCCTCAAAGAGGAACTTGTTAGATCGTGGCCCCCTGTCTTGGAGGCTCGATGCCGTAGGTTGGGCGATAGAAGTTGACCCATCATTCCAATTGTTATTGAGTTGGTCCCGTAGGTCCCCTGCGGACCTCATGGAGTCGACTTGTAGCCCAATTGAGGCTATTCCGGCTCGAGGTGACATGAGTTTGAGAAAATCGTGAAAGTTGCGAGAGTTGGACCTCGACCTCGCCATAGATAGTAACACGCTCGAGCTTGTATGTCGAGTTCTCAATAAAATAACAATGATGGAATTAATTAATCTGGGTGGACCGAATTAACCAAAACCAATAATTAAGGAATAAATAAATAAAGAAAGTGTTGAGGTTAAGGAGACAAATGGGATTAAGTAGGACCGTAGGGGTGTGCATCGGGCGGTTCGGTTCGGGGTGGGTGTTGGCTAAACCGCTCGGATTTCGGTTTGGTGAATCTAAAACCGTTCCTAACATTTTAAATAATAAATCTTTCGGTTTCTTTAGTATTCGGTTTCGGTCGGGTTGGTCGGATATCCGACTTGTGTTCGGATGAAGCAAAATTGAAATAAGAATAATAAAACTGTAAAACTAAATCAAGTAAATTCAAGACAAAATGCCTTAATGCCATACAAAAAACCTTAAAACCCCAAAAATGAATGATTTACAGTTTACACTTTACAGTTTAGTAGTTTACACTTCACAAAAAACCAGAATTACAGATTTACGAATCCACATAGTGATTTGCATTTTGCACGATTCAATAAACCATTCCAGATTTCCAGCATGTAGATTCCTGATCACAAAAAGCCATCCTGATTCCTGAATCTTGCTCCTACTCTAAATCTGTAAATCTGTAATACTCCTAGTGTTCTAGACTGCTATTCTTTTTCCTGTTAAAACTTAGTGCAATTTAGTAAAGGAAACAAACAACTAAACAAGTAAAAAACAATAAGTCAATAATAATTACTTAGCAAATGAGAAAATGAGATTATAATATTGGCTCAGTAAGCATATTTGTCCATATCAATGTATGGATTAAGGGCAAATTGCTTCAAATCTTCAATTGAACATTGAGCAACATACCAGCTTAATCCTTATTTCAGATCATTGGTGGAAGCTTTCATCATTGCCAATTTGCCATAATATATCAAATACTCAGAAGATAACATTACCAGAATTACAGCAATATCACATTGTTTTAGACCATCTTGTACCACCAAGTTCAGAATATGAGCAATGCATCTCATGTGAAGATACTTAATCTTCACACTAGATGATCCCCAAGACAACACTTTCCTTTTTAAAAAACCAAGTGCAACATCATTTGATGAAGCATTATCTACTGTGACAGTAAACACATTCCTAAGCCCCCACTCTATCAAACAACTTTCAAGTGCTTTTGCAATATACTCATCCTTATGTGATGTAACAGGGACAAAAGAGATAATTTTTTTATGTAGCTTCCACTCCTCATCTATAAAATGTGCAGTTACAACCATGTAGTTTATCCTCTGAATAGATGTCCAAGAGTCAGTTGTAATACTGACTCTTTGAGTGTTTCCCCTAAACAAACACTTTAAGTTCAATTTTTCTTCTTCATAAATGACATTGATATCCCTACTGATTGTCCACCTAGATGGAATTTTAAACCTAGGACAAGCCACTGCAATGAACCTCCTAAACCCTTGCCCCTCAACAAATATAAAGGGAAGTTCTTAATCATTTCTACCAAGGCTCTCCTAATGGTTTCCCGATTAAATACCCAAGTCCCCAACTCTCCCACAGTTGGTTCAGATGCATCACTAGTAGCAACAGCTTGAAATGTCAGAAGGGACTGCCTAGTATCTTTAGAGTGAGGGTTTTTCATACCGCTAACCATGTGGTTCCTTAAAGATGTAGTACCATGTTTTTTTTATTGACATTGATACAACTTTGCACAATAGATACACTTTGCTTCTATAGTAACATTATTACTATCAGTAATCTTTTGAAAATGATCCCAAACTCTTGATCTGGATTCAACCACTTTCCTTTTCTTTGCAGGAACTGCAGCAGTAGGGAGCACAGTCTGTTGAGTAATTGTGTCAACAGTTTGGGCTTCCACTGCTGTTGCTCCTTGAGCAGAAGAATTGGTAGGTTCACAGCCAGAACTAGGTATACTGATATTGTCCATCTATAAAGTGTGGAACATAATCAGTACAGATAGTAGGAGATTGAAAATCATAATACACATATAACATATTAACATTTAACACTTAACTATTCCATATTTCCAATTCCATATTTCCATCAGGCATTCATAATATTATGGACATCATCTCTGAATGCCCATCATATGGAGTATGGACAACAGTCACAACACATAGGCAGTTAGGTACTATATATAGGAATATAGTTTCCACATTTCAGAAATTCAGAGGCAATATATATCATAATATTTAAGGGTCCTCAATCCATAAACAAGAAAGACAACAGAGATGATATTTTTAATGCTTCCACTCACAAATCATAACAGTTTCAGAATAACAAGTTCACAAGAATCACAAGCCAGAATCTCATATTATATCACATTATCACATAATTCACATTATAATGAATAAATCACTAAAATAAAATAACTAGGGTTCGAGATTTACTTCTTTTCTCGCACAAATTACCCGGAGAACAAGAGCTTTCAAGCAACGTCCAGCGGTCCAGCTGTCCACAAGTGAGTCAGTCAACAACTGAACAAAGCTTCCACCACAGACTCACAGAGAGTCAAAGAGAACAGCTGAGAGCCTGAGACGGTGAGACCCCAGAGAATATCGAAAGGACTTCCACCGGA